ATGGCCATCCTTATATAGAGGTCTGAACCCGTGGCCTTGGTGTTATCAGCACCACACACTCCTAAGTGAGCCACAGGCCAGCCCTACAATTATATTTTAGATAAACATTGCTTACAGTTGTATCCAGTTTAGCTCCTCCCGTACTCACTAAGGCAGCATGTTGTTTGTGGTGAAGTACTTGCAAATAACATTTAGAAATCATCTGTTTTAATTTAGAAATAGAATACAAATTATAAAAAATCTTAATTTATTTTCAAGCACAGACGCAAAATTCCAACAATGTCATGAAAACAGTTTGTTTTCGATCAGGTTTTGACAGTTTCTTATTCATATCTTAATGTAAACCTAGATTGAATATGTTACATAACAAATTTCAGCACATCTTTTTTTCTTATATAATTAAAGCAAACTCAGCAGGTCTACTTCCTTGTAAAACAAGGCTTTAAGAAGTATATATTATTGAAGATTACATTAAAGTGTATTTTCATAATTTTTGGTTTAAAAGTATTTTTGAATACACTAAAATTAACTTTATACCTTAATTTTTGGGGGGATGTGCTGGTCAGTACATGGATTTGAACCTGTGACCTTGGTGTTTATAAGGCTGCGTTCTAAACAGCTGAGCTAACTGGCCAGGCCTATACCATAATCTTTAATAATACATTCAAGATAGTTCTATTGCTTTATTTACTACATTGAAAAAACGGTGGCAAGATTTAAAAAGACTTCTGAGAGTATGATCTGTAGTCAAGTGAAAAAAGATTTGGTACTTTTTAAAAGGTTTGTAAATTAGTTGCCTAAATCATTCTAGTTTGCTTTTACAGAAGCTTAAAGAGCAAGAGAATACTGATAACACTAAGGTCGTCAAGAGTTTGGATCTCCATACCTGCCAGCCACAAAAAAAATAAAATAAAATAAAAGCCTTGATTTTTTTTTTTAACAGCTTTTAAAATTCTGCTGTTTATGAGTATTAGTAGCTATATTCAGTATTTAGCTCATATGACATAAACCTTAGTTTCAATCCACACAAGGCCAAAGATAGATAAAAGCTGTAAGTTCCTTTTCTACAAAATTATACAGAATAGTGTTTTATGTAATATGTGTGTTCTGAAGGTTTACTCCGGATGCTCTATATTGGGAAACCTATAATTGAAATTATCAAAGAAAAGTGAAATACTCATGCATTCTGAATAAGCAGTATAACCAGTCATAAATCATAGCTAAAGAGTTAATTAATTAATTAGGATAGATATGTTGTCATAATGTCACAAGTTGGAGTACACTGGCAGGAACCAAACAATTACAGTAGCAGAAAATTTCATGCCTAAGGGCTTTAGGTTAATGTAAGCTCCTCAAATGAATTACGAGAGTTAGTGTGCTTGTTAAGTTTGACGCAGGTATTTGTTATCAGTTGGTTCTTTTAACTAGTGATTACTGGAGCTAGGATGGTAAAACCTGCTCTTTTGGCTCTTAATCTCCATACATAGTTTTTTCAGCTGTGTCACATTGTTTTCTCTGGTTTCCTCCAGATATTTCACACAGATCTTGTTCATCTTCACTTTCTTAATCTCATTCCTTTTGATTCTCATCCCTTCATCCTTGGATTTGTACCCATTTTTCTTTGTGCCTATGTAAAAAGCATGTTTCTTAGAAATGAACTAATAGTATTCTAGATTTTATCTTGATTAGCTCAGATAGAATGGGCTATTCCTCTTTCCTTTTTCTGGATCTGTGGTTTTAAATTTTGTGACTAGGTCTGTTCACAGAATTTTGACAAACAGTTTCAGGGATTTTCAGACACCTAAAGCTCAAACAAAGCAGTTGCCCATAAAATCCATCCCTTTTCCAGGAAAGTCAGAAGCAAACAGGAAGAAAACTGATTTTGGAAAATTTTTATTATAGATCAAAAATAATGTAGCTGAGGAAAATAATACCTCTTAACACATGAATGAAATTATAATGGGGTTGCGTATTTAAACTGAATTTGATAAAACCAGTGTACTTGGGGAGGGGGTAATTTTATAATCAATGGTATTTAAAATTTTTTCAAAAATTATTTGTGAAAGAGGAAACTTCATAAAACTTTTTAAACTTAATTGTTGTCATTTATAAGTTTCATGTTTCAGCTTTTACTTTTATTCACAGTACTATTGCAGGCAGTGATGTGTGAAAATAAGTTGGTTTCCAGAATTACCTGCCATTTGATAATTAACATGCCTAAAACAAATTACTATTATTATTATTATTTTTTTTTTTTTGGTGACCGGTAAGGGGGTCGTAACCCTTGGCTTGGTGGCGCCCGCACCGCACTCAGCCAGTGAGCACACCGGCCTTCCCTACATAGGATCCGAACCTGCATCCTCGGCGCCCCAGCGCCGCTGTGCTCCCAGCGCTGCACTCTCCTGAGTGAGCCACGGGTTCGGCCCCTAAAACAAATTATTTTACTCTGCTCACATTTTTAAGACAAGAAACAACTACAGTACATTAAACAAATCTATTCCTCAGCATATAGGTTATTATTAATAGGTTAATTATAGTTATTCATACTTTGGTGCAGTGATTAAAATGTTTTTTCTTTTTTTAGTCCCAGGGAAGATCACTCTATATTACATTTAGTCTCTTAAGGTCATAGAATTTCCATTTAAGAAGCTTGTCTTAAGTGCTTCTTAATGTTTGTTTTAACATGGAGATTGATGTTAGAGGTTCTTTGTCTTAATTCATACATAATTAGCCAATATGTCTCTGGAAATGTTTTAATTTTTTTCAAGTGGTATTTTAATTACCTTTTATTCTGGTTAGATATTATTTAGTGTCCATTTTTCTGATTTAGGGTGTAGTCATAATTTGCTTAGGGTTCAGTGTTAGTTCCTCTGGTAATAATCTTTTACCAAGACTTTTAAAAGATGACCGGTCAGGGGATCTTAACCCTTGACTTGGTTATCAGCACCACACTCTCCCAAGTAAGCCACGGACTGGCGCTTACCAAGACTTTTAAACAGCCTAGGCTTCATCAATAGAGAGTCAGCAGCTATGGTTGCCTCATGATTTGTTGTATAGCTGTCCCATGGGGTAAATGGTTGGCTACTTAATTTGTAGCTGGTATTTGAAGTTCTTAAACTGATCTTCCTATTACTATCCCTTTGACTTCAGGTTATCACAGGTCATGTGGTTTTTCTCTATGTTTTCTCCTCATGTTTTCAGTCTTTCACTTTAACATTTTACGAGGTAAGGTCTACCTACACTTCCTCAGTGGAGTCTTTGTGAGTGTTAGAGTCCATTTTTGCTTCAGTGTCAATTAATTTGTGTCACTAAAAGCTTTTCAGCACTACCAGTTGACATGTTGAAATATATTTTTCTTCACAGAACTAGAGCATTTGACTCATTCGTGTTCATATGGCCATTACTTAGATTCAAAACAAAATATTTCTTCTTTTTGATTATGGTCAGATGAAATAGTATGGTTCAAAAAGAAATTCCAGTGCTGTGAATTAATTATAGGAACCTGGAGCGGGCTAGCTCCTTGGTTTTGGATACTGGTGCCAGTGCAAATTAGTTGGTTGGGAAGTATGTTAGATCTCTAAATCCAACTGGGCTGGGCATGAGCTCAAGTTTCATGCTACAAATTAAGTAACTTACCTTCATTTACCTCCAGAAATTGTCTTAAGAGTGCCATCATCTTGCCCAAAGGATAGTAGTTTCTGAATACCAATATTTAATAGTTTCTGATCATTATACTTTGCAAAAATTTGGGCCAAAAGACCAAAAGCTTTATGTGAAATTGGAGAAGAGTGAAAATAAAGAAGTTACTCAGTATCTTTTTATGAATTCCTGTGAGTGAATTGAAATTGGCAAATCAACAGCTAAGTTAGTTGGGTTGAGTAGAAGAGAAAATTATTTGAGAGAGCCTGTAAAATCAATACTTCCACTACAGGAAGATTAAAGACTGTAACTCAGAATTCTAACCACTAATGAATATAGAAAATATAACAGGGAGATTGATGATATCATAGATGATTTATAAAATTTCATTGTCAGCTGCATCGTATTTGTTCCTTAAAAGCTTTGGAGTTAGAGGAGTTGGTGAGTTGTTTTTAATTAGAAGAGTACTGGGCCTTGGGGTTAAGTTAGTTGCTTTTTAAAAAAAGCTTACAGAACTAGAATTTAAAAAGATTTTTTCCCACTGGCATGTCTTGCTTTCTTATGTTGCAACAGGCTTTTACATAAAAATGACAGCACAGAATGTAGAAACTTTCTAGAACTGATGTCAATGTAGGAAGTTTCATGTTGTGCTTTGAATTTTCTCTTTATAAATATAAGAGACAGTGCCAAGCCACCACTTTCGTGTATCCTTATCAGTCACTGGGATACCAAGTGACATTTGGAATTAAAAATTCTAATGGAAACAGCAGTTAGCTGAGCAACCAATGTTTGAGTGCTAAATGTGTGCTGGGCAGTGGATTTAGGCACTAGTGAATAGTTAACAAGATAGTAGACTCTGCCCTGTTGGAGCTTTGAATGCAGGTTAAGCCTAAATGTAATTAGAATTGATAGGAATATTTTTATATCATATATCTTGTATCAGTAGTATTTGTACCCAGCTAAAGATCAAGTTCACTCATTATAAAAAGTAATGTTTTATACTGCCATAGTATCTTTTATTTCTTTAATGCTTCAGGCCATATATATGTGCGTGCGTGCGTGTGTGTGTGTGTGTGTGTGTGTGTGTGTGTGAGTATCTTTTATTTCTTTAATGCTTCAGGCCATATATATGTGCGTGCGTGCGTGTGTGTGTGTGTGTGTGTATATATGGTATTTTGTTGAAGAAAAATTGCTACAATGTTAAAAATGTTTCATCAAAGAAGGGTCATTTTTGTTGGCCTTTTGAATGAAATTAACAGTAAAACGAGAGAAGCAGTGGATGTTCTATAAGGTCTGGTTTTGCTGACTTAATTTTAGGTGTGAAGAAATCCTGGTTTTTGTTTTGTTTTTTAATCCAATAGGATGTACAGTTATCCAGCACGTGTTCCTCCTCCTCCTCCTATTGCTCGGGCTGTAGTCCCTTCGAAACGACAGCGTGCATCAGGAAATACCTCACGAAGGGGAAAAAGTGGCTTCAATTCTAAGAGTGGACAGCGTGGATCTTCCAAATCTGGAAAGTGTATGTATTAATATTTCAGCTTTGTGATTCTGATGTTACTTAGTTTTGAAATAGGGAAATTAGTGCAGTTATTATGTTCAGTTTTTTGTACATGGCTTTATGCAATCAAAATAATGGAAGAGAAGGTAGTGATTAAGAGGCCAAAATGTCAGAACGCTTACTGCTGAAGGACAGTAGCCTCATTAGATTCAGTTTTTAGCTACCGGTTAAAAGATCAATGTTCCCCATTACTGGGACAGTTGGTCTTGGTTCTTTTTCTCCTCAGGCATCTCCTGTTGGCTCCTTGTTTAGTCTAGTAGGTATGCATTTGGTAATTGGTAGCTTCTAGTACATTTGATTCTAATCTAGGGTTTTGTTTGTATTAAAGTGAAAGGAGATGACCTTCAGGCCATTAAGAAGGAATTGACCCAGATAAAGCAAAAAGTGGATTCTCTACTGGAAAGCCTGGAAAAAATTGAAAAGGAACAGAGCAAACAAGCAGGTAAATATGGTCTTCTTGTTAAGTGTAAAGGTGGGTTAGTTTCATAAGATATTTGATAGTATATATTGGTATAGTGGGATATAAAGCAATCTCATATAAAACTTTGGGGAGTTTTAATTGGGAAAGGCATTTGTGTGGGAGGACTTAGACTTGTGCTGCAGTTTTATGATCATTAGTGGGAATTGTCTACATCCTGTGGACATTACTTGCCCCTAGACAGACTTGTCCTTCTCATCCGCAGTAGAGGTGAAGAATGATAAGTCAGAAGAGGAGCAGAGCAGCATCTCCCTGAAGAAAGATGAGACTAATGTGAAGATGGAGTCTGAGGGGGGTGCAGATGACTCTGCTGAGGAGGGGGACCTACTGGATGATGATGATAATGAAGATCGGGGGGATGACCAGGTGAAAACCATGGTAAAGGAAAGAAAGAGGTGGTGGAGGGGGGTTCAGGGACACATGGAGTGCCTCTAACTCCATCCTGTTTGTGTCTGTTTCTCACAGCTGGAGTTGATCAAGGATGATGAAAAAGAGGCTGAGGAAGGAGAGGATGACAGAGAAAGCGCCAATGGCGAGGATGACTCTTAAGCACATAGTGGGGTTTAGAAATCTTATCCCATTATTCTTTACCTAGGCGCTTGTCTATAAGATCAAATTTTTCACCAGATCCTCTCCCCTAGTATCTTCAGCACATGCTCACTGTTCTCCCCATCCTTGTCCTTCCCATGTTCATTAATTCATATTGCCCTGCGCCTAGTACCATTTTCACTTCCTTTGATGCTCCTAGTAGTTTTGTTAAGTCTTGCCCTGTAATTTTTGCTTTTAATTTTGATACCTCTTTATGACTTAACAATAAAAAGGATGTATGGCTTTTATCAACTGTCTCCAAAGTAATCTCTTGTTATGCAGGGAGCACAGTTCTTTCCATTCATTCAAGAGTTCAGTAGTTGCTTCCCTAACTGCTAAAGCAATCTCATTTAGTTGAGTAGCACCTGAGAGCAGCTTTGAGTTAGAAGTATGTGTGTTATACCCCACATAGGAGTGCTGTGTGGGGCTGTTCAAAACAAATGTAACAATGTATTTTTGTGAATGAGAATTGGCATGTCAAATGCATCCTCTAGAAAAATAATTAGTGTAATAGTCTTAAGATTTGTTTTCTAAAGTTGATACTGTGGGTTATTTTTGTGAACAGCCTGATGTTTGGGACCTTTT